TAAGAGAACCTTCAGTGGTGATGATGAGATACATTTGTTTTTTGATGCTCTGAACAAGCCTATAAGAACATGTTATACAAAAAATATACCAACAATTGGCTTATGCTACTTGGCACAAAGTGGTGTAACTTCCATGTTCGATGCAAGTGATAGTCCCTCCGCTAGAGTTTGGTGACCCTTTCTGGTTCTTTCTCCTGACATATATTCAAAGAGAGCATACAGATTTTTTTTATACAGATAGGGGCTTTGTTATTATGTTATTTGGAGCATTTTCTGATTTGTGAATTTCTACTTATATTAAAAATATTTTCATATACTAAAAGACACTAATGTTTGACAAATTATAACCGAATTTTATTCATGTCTTCTTACAATTCTCTCATTCATGCTACAAATTTCTTCTTTCGGAGGAAGGCATACAAATTAAGAGCAAGGAAAGGGGAAAAAATCACTAGAAATTAGAATTCCCTCCTGTACAAATTCATCTCAACTAATCTAATATTTTGCTCTCCTTCAACCTAATTCAAAATCCAATCATGTGAGAAGTGAATTCTATAAACACATCTACTTTACAAGGAATCGTAAGGCCACCCATGGGATGATCATGGCTAAACTCTTGTTCAGCTTGACTCAATAATTCCTGAAATGAAGGTTGATTTAAGTATGATATAGGAATAACAAAGCACTTCAATTTTTCTCTAACATAAACTACAAGGTAGCCCTTAGGGACATCCATGGTCTTCCAAGCAAATTGGGCTGCAGATGAGGAAGGCCTTCTGATTCCAGGTAGACAAAAACCCATTATTTTTTTCCTTCTTTGTGAGGAGGAAAATTCTTGTTTTATTGTTTCAAATGGCAAGTATTTGTGCTGCTTCTGAGTTCCCCCAAAGAATGAGCATATATAGATAAAATGATAAGCTGAAAATATTTGGCTGTTTAGAAGATTGATGAAGTAGGGCCTACAGATAAACTAGAGCTTGAGAACTCACGAGTTGACATGCTGTTGTCTTGGAGATCTTTCTTATCTCAAGAATCATCGAGTACCCTACTTGATATAAAATTGACGTGTATGAAAGGAAGAGAGAAACCAATATTAATTGCCAGATTTCTAGCTGGCATGAACCACAATTTTATGTTCATCAAATTTTAAGCAACACCTAGTGAGAGTACATGAAGTTTGGCCCTATTAGTTGGCGGAAAAAAATTTTCATAAATACTTGCAATAATTACATTCATATCTTTAGTAAATAATATAAGTGTTAGCCTAATAGTGGGACCAAACTTATTGCTCTCTCACGTGAAGTTGCTTACAAGTTAATGAACATTAAATTGTGGCTCATACTAACTAGAAATTTGTTATTAATTTGATGAAACACATCAGTTGTATTCTTTGCAGGGTATTAGGTGGTCCTTAAGAAAGACCTCAGAGACAACACCATGTGACCTCTTGTGAACTTAGAGCTCTTGTATATAAATAGGATTTGGGTTTTTTTTAATACTCTTTCATCAATAATACTGATGGGTTCAAACATTTTGAAGTAATACAAATAACTCCATCCTGAAGCAATCAGAACACAAAGCCTTCCTTTATCTATAAAGCTGTTGAGACCTTTCTCTTCTTCAAGAACAATGGGTTTTCGTTTATCTGGAATTAAAAGGACCTTTTCATTTTCAAGAAACCTTTCTTTTTCAAAAGGAGTCGATGTGCCAAAAGGTTACCTTGCAGTTTATGTTGGAGAGAAAATGAAGAGGTTCGTGATTCCCATATGATACTTGAACCAACCTGCATTTCAAGATTTGCTCAGTCAAGCTGAGGAAGTGTTTGGTTATGATCATCCAATGCGTGGCCTCACAATTCCTTGCACTGAAGATGCCTTTGAGAATATAACTTCTTGCTTGAACGTCTATTGACAAGTTACTGTTTAGATTAGTGATTTGTCGAAACAATTTTATAGTTTAAGCAAATTATTATGGTGCAAATATTCTTTTCTTACCATTATTGGGGAGGAAAGGAGATCATTTGGTAAATATATACATAGTGACTTTAATTATCTCCTACATAGTATTTCCCAAGCTTATCTTTGAGATCTGAACATTGGTGATATTAAGTAGCAGAACATTGATGAATAGTAACTCAATATACTTTTTTTCATATGGTTTTGATCCCTTCACTTTCTACGCTATAGATCTGTCAAGTTGCTCAAACAGTGACTGACCTAGAAAATTTAATTAGTGGAGGCAAATTTTGGACCAAATATAAATATCAAGAGTTCATATAAAATATTTTTAAATAATTATTAAATTAATATAAAAATAATATTTAGTAAAATCAATTACTAAAGAACTAATATATTTTTATTATCATTTCATAGAAAACAATATCTTTAGATATGTATGTTTCGTATTTCTAAAAAATAAATGAAGTCAAACATTCAATTTTTTTAGAGTTGGGGCCAAAATGAAATTTTTTAGAGGGCACAAGTGAAATTTTGAAGATAAATCTATAATTTTCTTCATATAAATGCAACCTAAAAATAATATTAGTCTTTTGTTTCCCCTACTAATGATACAAGGAGGCCGGTCCTTCATTGTGCTTAACCATGTCTCTCATCCAAACAAGAATTTAAACAGTGTAGTATGCTTTTTTATCTCATGGGTATGGAGTTTCGAAGTCTTATTTACATTATCATGCTCTGTTTTGAGCTTCTCTTATATTTTTCACTTTGAGTACTTCTTATCATTTATCTAATTACAAATTCCATTTTTTGAAAAATAAAATTTCTTCTTTTATCTATTTTTAAATATCATCAATAAAAATAAAAACTAAAACAAAGCTATTGTGCATTTATTGTTTCTTGTGATTTGCCTGCAATTTCTTAAAAACTCATAGATGAGCAATATTGTGCATGGGTTAAGCTAGTTATAAGAAAAATTTTGAAAAAAAATATAATTTTGAATCTTTACACTTTACTCAAATTTTGTTATAAGTTCCTAAACTTTTTTCAGTATTCTAGATCCCTACACTTTTGTTTTAAATATTTTAGGTTCTAAAAGATCAAAAAATAAAAGTATAGAAAACTAGAACACTGAAAAAAAATGTAAAAACTTATAGCAAAATTTGAATAAAATGTAGGAGCCCAAAATTATGTTTTCCCAAAAATTTTAGTTCTAAACATTGGAATTCAAATTTGTCTTAATTAGTATTACTTTCATATCAAATTATAAGAGATTTTTGGGAGAGATTCAACATCCAAAAATGAGGTTTTCAATATTACTTTTCTCATATATTTTCTCTCTTTAATATTCTTTAACAAATAAAGTACTAAATTAGGGGCTTTTTTTTTGAAAGTTTGTATTTTTGTTTTGAAAAAAATAGGGTTATTAAATGTATATAATAAACTTTATTAATATATATGATTTTGTCTAAAAATATTTTATGATTTGGGACGAAAAGAGTATTACCCAAAAAATTATGGTTTTTGCTTATTTGATAATTGGTAAATATATTTATGTTAAGCATTCTGTTGAAGTGAGCAGACTTAGTTTTGAATGTACCGTTAGCTTGTTGGAGAAAATTTTCACATGTTTTTGTGTGTTAAATGCCTAAATCCGTCTTTCTGCAAAAGCCTTAAGATCCCAAGTGAATTATTAACTGGTTCTAATAGGGCAGGACAAAGCCCACAGATGTATGGTCAACTTAGGAGTACATTAAAAAAGATTATAATTTTATGAAAAATAATAGTTTGTTCAGTAAAGTTATCATACATCATTGTTCAACAACTTATACTTTTACTGTTAAGAATTGAATGAAAATTTAAGGTAAAACAACATAAATTGATTTAAACTCTGTTCATAAAATTCACAATCAAATGGGTATTTTCACTTTCCATTGAAGGTATTAAAAAATCTCTATACTATATGAATTTGCCTACTTTACAGAACTCTCTTGACTAATCACTATGTCGCTAGTCTCATCGAAATAATAGCTTTTCATCCCTCACTGGGGCAAGACATTATATCCTGAAAGGACTCTTGTGAACAAGGAATTGTGAGGCCTCCCATTGGATGATGATAACCAAAATCTTCTTCAGCTTGACTTAACAAATCTTGAAATGAAGGTTGATTCAAGTACACTATAGGAATCACAAAGATAGCCCTTTGGCACATTGGCTCCTTTTAAAGATGTATGGTTTGCTGAAAAAGAAGCCTTTCTGATTCCAAGTAAACGAAAACCCATTGCTATTTCTGTTTATAGGAAGCCTTTGTGTTCTAATGCCTTAGGTTGGGAAGGATTTTTGTTGCTTCAGATTGCTTGCAAGTACGAGAATATATAGCTAAAAGGATGAGAGGGAGATAGTTGGCTACATGATTGATAAAGTGGGGTCTTTTGGTAGACAAGATCTCAAAACTTACAAGAGATCACATGTTGTTGTCATAGAGGTCTTTCTCATCTCAAGGGCAATCAAGCACCCAGCATGAAATAATATTGATGTGTTTGAAACTTGGAAGGAAAAGAGAAACCTATATTAATTTTTGAATTTCTTACTAGTGTGAACCACACTTTTGTTTTCATCGAATTTTAAGCAGCTCTTTGTGAGAGTACATAAAGTTTGGCCCTATTAGTTGGTAGAAAGAACTCTTAAACACCCTCACGAGGAGTTGCTTACAATTTGAAGGACATTAAATTGTGGTTCATGCCCACTGACTAAAAATTTTGCAATTAATGTGATCAAACACATTAGCTGTACTTTTTGTACTTTGTAGGGCTCAAGTTAAAAGACCTCAAAGACAACATCATGTGACCTCTTGTGAACTTTGAGGGCTTGTCTGCCAATAGGACCCAGTCTCATCACTAGACAATGGTTTTCTAATGCCCTTTCATCTATATATACTGATGATTCATGCATTCCGAAGCAACACATAGATCTCCATCGCAGAGCATCACAACTGACAGCCTTCCTTTGTATACAAAGCTGTTGAGACCTTTCCTTATAAAAAAAATGCGTTTTCGTTTACCTCAAATTCAAAGGGCCACTTCATTTTTAAGAAACCTTGCATCCTCAAAAGGAGTTGATGTGCTAAGGGGCTATCTTGCAGTCTATGTTGGAGAGAACATGAAGAGGTTTGTGATTCCCATCTCATACTTGAACCAACCTGCATTTCAAGATTTGCTGAGTCAAGCTGAGGAAGAATTTGGTTTTGATCATCTAACGGGTGGCCTAATAATACCTTGCACTAAGGATGCCTTTGAGAATATAACTACATGTTTGAACGGTTGTTGACAAGTTATTGTTTAGATCTCATTTATGATTGACATAGATTAGTCATTTGTCAGAAATAATTTTGTAATGTAAGCAAATTATTATGGTGTAAAGATTTTTTCCTACATTTCTTGGGGAGGAAAATTGACCATTCCAATGAGAAATATATAAACAGTAGCTTTAATCAAATATCTTTGACCTCTAAACATTGGCAAAATTAAGCAGTTGAACATTGATGAATGATAACTCAACATAATATTTTTTGTAAGGTTATGATCTCTCTTAATTTCTACACTTTAGATTTGTCAAGTTGCTCAAACACATCATTTATCTAGACAAGAATTTATTTGGAATCCTAAAGAAGCTTCTGCATCAAAGTACAGGTAAATCGTAGGATACTCTCAATAGAATGACAAAATGTTGTGTAATAATTTCATGTAAATGCATCCAAAATATATTAAAATTTAACATTCCAAGTGAAGTACGGACATGAATAGTTCAAAAAACATTGCAGTCATTTGAAAAGTTGAGTACGGCAATAGTTATAACATCAAATGCAGGACAGACTTGTTTAATTTGTGAAATGTGCCACATGTAAAAAGATGTTTGATTATTTGGCCCTTCTTTTTCTTAGGTTTAGAGTTTGATCACTTGATGATCACATATACTACAAAAGTTGAATATGAACCTGACTTTTTTGTAAACCTGCTTGAATCATCTTCATCTGTATTATTAAAACAAAAAATTCGAGGGTTAACAAAAATTGCATATTTATGATTTTTTCTTATGATTCTTTTGCTCATGGATTGTAGAAGGAACCAATGACCTTACATGATAAACAAACCATTTTTCTTCCTTCCATTTTGCTTGGAGCAAAGTAAATACTCTTCTTCAAAAATTGAAGAACCAGATAACATATAAGAAGAGAGTAATAAATTACCAAAGATACAAGTGAACAATGCATTATGAAGTCTAGAAATAAGTGGCTCTAGATAAATGTGACAATTATCAGTTATTTACAGATTCATACTTTAATATAAATTCATACATCTTGATGATCTCTTATCGCATAGGATTTATTTCAATGGATCCAGTATAGCAAAAAGGGTTGTTACAAGGATCTCGAGCAAAATAAGTTCAGAACAGGGTTGAATCACTCATTCTTTATTAATGTTAGATCTCCCTTTGTTGAGTTAAAAGAAAAATTATGCTTTTCAGTCTTACTGTATAACTTGGGTGTGCAATACAAAAGTCTCTGATTCTTTTTTCTTTTGGCATCTTTTTTGAATAATATCCTAGGATTTACTTACACATCGATGCATCTTTAAAATGTAAAAAAGTCCATTTTTCTATGAAAAAGAACGGCCTTTTAAGTCTTCATTATTTTGTGTTCAACGGCTTAATACCTTAGGTCTTAAGAACTGGGTGAGATTTGAGGGGGAAATCATAAAAAAAAGTTATATAAACTATGTTCATAATTTCACATTCAGATGAGTATTTTCCCCTCCCAAGAATGATAAGAAAAATCCTATACACCATAAGAATTTTCCTACTTTATAAAACTCTCTTGAATAATCAGCAATCACTTGTTGGCAATCGCTGGTGAAATCTAGTCTGAGTCGTGCTCAAGGACACTGTCCTTAAGAGTTATTCCACCACACTGGGTTGATCACGCAGCAGCTCCCCAGGATTAAACAGACTCTTCCTACTAAAAGTAGGGACACAGAACAATCAAAATTTACAAAATATACTCAGGTAACTACACAATAAACTAATCCGATAGAAGAAGAGAGAAAGGCCGAGAGTACTAAGGCTCTCTCTGAACTTGTGGCAAGCATTGCCTTTTATAAGTAGATCTCATAATGCTGGGCAATAAAACCACCTTAATCACAATTAAAAAACAGTTTCAAATAATAATGTTGTTTAAATTATATATTATAAAATAATAAATAGACTTAAATAATAATTAATATTATTAATTTAGAATAATTCCTTTTGAAATACTAAAAAATATTTATAATATTCAACATTACTAAGCTGTCAATCTAATCTAAACAATAACTTGCTAGCACCCATCATTGCAAGGAATTGTGAGGCCACCCATTGGATGATCATAACCAAATTCTTCCTCTGCTTGAGTTAGCAAGTCTTGAAATGAAGGCTGATTCAAGTACCCTATGGGAATGACAAACCTCTTCATTTTCTCCCCAACATACACTGCAAGATAGCCTTTTGGCACATTGCCACCATTTGAAGATGTAAGGTTTGCTGAAAAGGAATCCCTTCTAATGTCAGGTAAGCGAAAACCCATTGTTGGACTTTATGTTGTGAAGGGGACAAAATGGCTCTGTATGCAATAAGGAAGGCTTTGTGCTTTGATGCTTTAGGATGTGAAAGATTTGTGTTGCTTCTGAATGTGCGCATATATTAGTATAAATAGAAGAATAAGTAAGTGGAAAACCACTGGATATGTAATGAGGCTGGGATCTATTGGCAGACAAGAGCTCACAACTCACGAGATGTCACATGCTGTTGTCTTGGATCGTTTGAAGACCAGGAAAAATAGAAACCTATTGTCTTGAATTGCCATTTGGTGAAGAATAAGTGAATGATTTCAAAGGACTTTGTGGGAAGTATTTAAGACTTCAAAAATACTAGGGACATAAGCATAAAATATCACCTGATGCCGTCATGAATGTCTTCATCAAAGATCAAAAAATTTGTGAGACTAGATGGCCCACTTTCATGATAGACATCCTCAACAGCCAGGACCTTCCGTATTGATCAGGCAACTATTAACATGGAACAGAAGATTCAATGAAGGTGTAGAAATTGTTGGCACCTTTTGTTTTATTGAAACTGGTTTCCTTCAAAGTTGTTATCTTGTAGGCTATTGAAATGAGCTGTAACAAAGAAGCATGGGCATGAAGCATTTCATCTTAATATGTCAACTGATAGCTACCATCACTAATTCATGCAACCTAATTCATGTTAATGTTCCTAACCCACTAGTGATAAAACAAAAGAAATATACCAATGAATTTGAGGATTTTAATGTTAGTTGGGTTTATGTCAGAGTACACAGTGAAGATAGTTATAACAAGCTCATGTGATACTCGATAATGATGCTTTACTAAGAGATTTGAAGTATCATTTGAGTTCTAAGGAGAGATTGGTAACCAACGAAGACTACTTTCTCTAAGTTAAATTCTATGGTGTTGATATATGGAAACAAGTAAACCACATACTTGAAATCCATAAAAAGTGGCTATGGCCAAGCAAGGAAATTATCTTGTATTTACATATTTCAATTTTAACTTGAGCTCTCATATCATATCTTTCATTTTTTTTTAGATGAAAGATGATCTCTTGTCGCATAGGATTTACTTCAGTGGCCCCAATACAGCAAAGAGGGTTGGTCCATAAATATCTCAAGCAAAACAATATCAGAAGGAAGTTTATTTTATTCATTTCCAATTGATGTTAGATCATCCTTTGTTAAACTAAATTAGTGAGGAGGAGAAAAATTACACTTTTATAGTTTTTAGATCAAATTAGGTTATGAAATAGAAAGTATTTAACTCTTTTTTTTTTGGTATTTTATATAAAGAATATCGGATTTACTTATACTTCACTGCAAAAGTTTTAAAACTCCAAATAAGTCATTGTAAGGATCCTAGTAAGTAAAAGCTATGTATAAGCAGTTAGGAGAATCACATCTAAAGACCACTCAAGAAAATTGCTTATAGATAAGGACCAATACGAAATGAATTGTTATTAAAATGGGAATGGAACTTGTTTTTTTTTTTCAAATAGAACTTGTTGTTAATCCTTATCTGTGAATAATTTGTTTAAGTAGTCCTTGAATGTGATTCTCCCTAAGCAATTCAACCATTTCAAAATGTAGAAAGTAAAAAAGGCCATTATGTTATGAAAAAGAACAGCTTTTCGTCAATATTCAATGGCCTAATAACTTTGATCATAAGAGTAGGATGAGATTTGAGGGGAAAATTATTGAAATTCATGAGTGTTTTCATAATTTCCAAGAGGGATTAAAAAAAAATCCTATACACCATGAGAACTTCTACATTACAAAATTGTGTTGACTAATCAACAATCACTAAGTTGTCAATCCAATCTAAACAATAACTTGCTTGCACCTATTCAAGCAAGAAATTATATTCTCAAAGGCAGCTTCATTGCAAGGAATTGTGAGGCCACCCATTGGATGATCATAACAAAATTCTTCTTCAGCTTGATTTAGCAAGTCTTGGAATGCAGGTTGGTTCAAGTATGCTATGGGAATCACAAATCTCTTCATTTTCTCCCCAACATACACTGCCAGATAACCTTTAGGCACATCTTCACCTTTTGAAGATGCAAGGTTCGCTGAAAGGGAAGCCCTTCTAATACCAGGTAAGTGAAAACCCATTCTTGTATGTTATGCTGAGAAGGGGAAAATGGCTTTGTATATAAAGAGGAAGGCTCTAAGTCTAGATGCTTTAGGATGTGACATATTTGTGTTGCCTCAAAATGCCTGCAAAAATCTATATATATACAAGAATGGGTATGCAGAAATCCATCATGTGATCATGCTGGGGCCTATTGGAAGACAATAGTTCTCAACTCAGAAGTGGTCACATGCCCTATTGTTTGAAATTGCTATTTGGAGGAGAATGAGTTAATGATTTCAGAGGAATTTATGGGAAATATTTGAGGCTTCAAAAATGCTAGAGGCACAGGCATCAAAGATCACATGGTACTGTCTTTGATGTCTCCATCAAGGATCACCAAATAAATTCTTAGACAAAATGGCCCACTTTCATGACGAACAGCCAAGGTGGTTGACACCTAATGCTTGTCCCACAAATCCTCAAGAATCAAGTCCTCCCATACGTTATTCCATGTTGATCTGGCACCAGCAGAAGCATTTAGATGAGGCTTAGAAACTGTTGGCTAGTTTTCTGATGTTGAAACTTGAGTCCTTTAAAATCGTTATCTTACAGACTACTAAATTAGGCTGTACTAAGTAAGAAGCATGGACTTGAAGCATCATATGGCACTGTCTTTAATCTCTTTATTACAGATCAACAAATGATCCAAGGATTGAGAATGCTTGCCCCCTGTTTACTGTACACATGTCTAAACTTTTTATGCAGATAATATGCTCCTACATTATGGGCCTCTCTGTTCCTCCATGAAGGCAAGAAACCTGGGCCGGGTTAATAGCAGAGGATATTTTAGGCAACAGAAATTATTTGCATTATGCAGAGAGAGGTGGGAGGAGAGAGAAAGAGAGAGATTCAAATATATTTTCACAGTTCAATCATAGCAAGACATCTGGAATTTGCATGATAAAAATCACATCAAACATTACAAGTCAAAACGATATTCATCTCAATAAAATAGTGAAGGGGGTTCCATTAGTGGACTATGTTATTTTGAAGTGAAAGTGTGCTGATTCAAAAGGTGGCTTTTTCAATGTAAATTACATGAAAAAAAAAATAATAAATAGTCAGAGATATCTAAGATACATTCTGGCTGCCTCGCAGATTGTGATTATTATCCAGATCAAACACTATGATTGACCTTCTGAATCTGATAAACATGCATTGCACCATGCATAGGATGCTATTTCCTATTAATATTCTCTTGGCATCTAAATAACTAAATTTTGCTAAACAATAATATTATCAATTTTTTTATTTAATATTTTGTCTTCTACAATAATTGTATTCAGGTTTCTTCAGACTCTTACAAAGAACTAGTAATTTTTCTGATTATTTTAACTTCATTTCAGATCTTCCAGCACATGCGTTGATGCTATTCAGACTTCTAAGTCCTCTTCCACGCATTCATCTTGCACTGCCAAATAAAAATTTTAAATGCGTCAGGCTTATAATATGAAGAGGAAATTAATAAATGTTATCAACCAAGATTCGAATTCAAAGTACTTGATGAACAAAATTCTATACGTATATACCATATTCATGTGACGGAGCATGTTTCCATAATTGTATAAAAAATTTAACCTCAAAGATGGATAAGAATATAAGGAAAACACAACCACCAGTCTCTATAATTTCATTAGATTTTGCTTTTAATTCTTGTAGTCTTTTTCATCGTTTACAATCTAAGGACTTGGATAACAAATATCACCAAATCTTACTGAAACTACAGAAACTGAGAAAAAAAAAACTATAAAAACAAAACAAAACCTGATGATTATAAAATTATTGTAGTAACAGAAAAATGCATTTTCTTTCTGGCATATCACTAATGGACATCATAGGGTTATATTTGTTAAAGCCTGATTTCACAATCACTTCAAAAATAATATTATCAAGATACTGATCCTTAATATTGATCATAGGTAGGATCAAAAATTGAATCAAACTTAAATAAAGATTAAAACATTTGAAAGTCTAAAATAAGGACAAAAAATTTCTTAGGGAATTGATCTATAAAAACTTGCTACCCCGGTTCTCTGACTTGAAACCATTAAAATAAAAATTTATAAAATTTGTCAATTTATAAAAGGAAAACTGGTCAAATAAACACCTTTCCAACGGTGTCACATCTGTTCTGGTATAAGCCATCGCATCTCCCTTTCAGTGTACGGCATTATGATTTCTGTAGCTGGCTATGACTTAACTGCAACAAAAGAGAGCCTTTCTAACTGAACTGAGTTGGATCCTAAGTAGGATATATTATAATGAAGCTACGTTGAGAGATGCTTGAGCCAAGCCATGTGAGTGCTTCACTGCTTTGATGAATTTCAGCAAGTGGGTCCCACCTCTTTTGGCAGCCAACTCAACTTGGCAGTCACCTATCATGACCCTTTCTGCAAGTTCATGGCTACCCACTCTGTCATTCATAATCATCAGGCTGCAATACTATAAATTTAAATCAAACACCACTACGGCTTCATCAATCCACACCAAAATCCTTCACACAGTTCAATCCACTTCTAAACAAAAGTCCGTGTGGGTGTGCGTGCGTGTGTGAGAGAGCAAGGCCAGTGATAATGGGCATTCGTCTTCCTTCCATGGTGCTTGGAGCAAAGCAAATACTCAAGTCACAGCATCTTCATAGCAGAAACCAGTCCAATGTTCCCAAGGGGCATATAGCAGTTTATGTTGGAGAGTTTCAAAAGAAGAGATTTGTAGTTCCAATATCATACTTGAACCATCCTTCATTTCTTGATCTGTTAAATAGAGCTGAGGAAGAGTTTGGCTTCAACCATCCAATGGGTGGCCTCACAATACCTTGCAAAGAAGATGCATTCATCAATCTTACCTCTCAACTCCGAGCTTCGTGAAAGATCAGCATTTTCATTTTCATTTTTTTTTTCCCAAGTTTTGATGACCGAATCAATTCCCCTTTTCTTCCCTCAATGGGTTTTTCTTCTATCTTCGGGCTTGTCACAGATAGAATATGTTATTTATTGTACAAATTCCCTTTTTTTTCTTTTGTTTTTTGATTGAATCTATAAGCAACATCTCCGTCGACAAAATGTAACTTCTACCTCCCTAATTACATATTACTGATCTCTTAATTTTCTTCCCAAGTTCATACATTGTTAGTTGAGACTTACTTGGTGCAAGTTTTTCACGTTTTTCAACCACTACTTTCCAATTTTAAAATGGAAAGGTCTTCATAATATTGTAAACATCTAAAGGGCGCCAAATGTCGGTTATAGGCTGGATGATGGAACATAAGAGAGAAGTTCCATATCAAAATCATCTAAAAATAATCACTTTGCTAAGTTTTCTTTACAGTCTACATATGAAGAGCCCCTGCCAAAATACCTGTAGTATAATAGCATATAAATCGGCATCTCTATAGTCATAAATTTATATAATCCGCATTGCAAAAGACCTTGGCCATATCTGGAGGCAAATCACAAGGGTCCAGTGACATCTATGGAGGTAGACTCTGCTGCTCATCAAAGTGAAATTTGCTGGCATATTTTCACACTCTCCACTCCCAGCTCTAGTGACCTCAGCATCTTAGGTTTAGTCTGCTTTCGTTGGTTTACAACACTTTTGGAATAATTCCATTAGGATGAAGGCGTTATCAACTTCTAGTGACAGATTATTAAAGTTGGCGGCATAAATAGGAAGGCCGAGCAGGAACCCTAGTCTATCTAAGGTAAAAAAATCAGACAACCAAGTTGTCCTACTGCTTGGAATTTACATATACTTTTAATCCAAGGACAGATTGCTGGCTCGAATGTTTCGTTGTTGAAGACGGATACCTTTGCCCAGTCGTGACTGCAACAAGCTAAAGTCACCTGGTTTTCCACTGAAAGGGGATGCAAGTTTTGGCTGAAGCCATTTTCTCAAAATTACTCCAATAATTCTGATCTTCCCAAATGACTCATTGCCCTGGTATGGTATTCTCAGCCTCCTCAATAGCGCTGCTATTGCCTGGCCAACCCTGTCAAACCGAAACATTGCATCATCTTGGCATTGTTTTTTGAGTCAATATATTAAAGTAAAAAATTGAACATGAAAATATTATAGAGTATGCATTTAATTTATTAAGTTCACTGTTAATTATATAATATCAATCTTATAAAATTACATTGTTAATGCATAAGTACATAACCCTTTATCAGTATTTATGACATGAAATTTATCACATGAAATGTTCTTTTGAGCAGTTTTATTTCATAATCCAGTGTAAATGCACGGGAAATTGCTAGTTATAGTAAAAAAATGGAACAAGTTCAAACCAGGATGCCTTCAGGAAATTTTTAATTAGAGCTATTGTGCAATAGCTGGACATCTGTGACTGCTGTCTTGTTAAAATATGGTGGAAATCAGAACAAGAAATAGGGAACGCAGTCAAAAAAACACAGTAATTGAGGTATAAGAGAAGCTGAATATTTGGATTAATGGTGAAACAGATTGCAGGCTCTATTGCATGAAAGAAATTCAGTCAAACCAGGATGAGCAAAACACACAGGAGAAGAAAAAGGTTCTAGCACTTAAAGAATACTAGAGGTTTACACCAACAAACCAAAACTTGAGTTTTGATTTGCTCATGAAAATTTGACCATAGACTTAAATTCATATAAAGATATTTGGAAGATATTCATTGCACAAATTCTTGTCACCATATACAATAAGCTATAAAACATGAACACTTAAAAAAAGAAGCAGCATATGAAAACTGGACCAGCTAGTTCAATCGGTGAACCGGCCATGTAACTGGTCCTGAAATCTGAATGAACCAGCTAAGTAACCAACCAGTGCAGCCCAGTTGATTCAGTTTTACTGGCCAACCCGGTGGGCTAACCAGTTCCACCAGGTTAGTTAAAAAAAGATTAAAAAACACAGGAAAAAAAAGGAAAAAATTCAGATGAAGAAGACTGCAGAAGAGAGAAGAGCACAAAGAAGCATATCAATAGAAGAACAAAGAGGAAAAAGAGGAGAATTTGTATGTCTGAGACGTGTTAACAACACTGGTATTAGACGTGAAGCTAGCATATCAACTGGGTTAGTTTTACTTCAATTATATTAACACATTTTGCCATTTTAATCTTGTTATTATTTTAAAAAAAATTGTATAGTATGGACCAATTCAACCTCTAACCCTTGAATCAATGCCATCTCCAGTTTATTAACCAATCCATTGTTTAAAACCTTGGCCACATGAATGTCTGACATGTGTCAACAACACTTGTAGGTGAAGCAAGAATACACATAACTACAGACATTGAAAATTTGTCATGTTTCCCTGCCCTTGGCAACATCTTTGCTTCTTGGACAGTAGGTGATAAGTGATCAGTAAGGTGGACATGACAAAGACAAAGCCTAGACGATGGCTGACATGAACTTTCACATGTTGAATATCTAGGATATCAGCCTAGATATGATTGATGATTTTTTCTTCAGCTTTTTATATATAAACTGACGATAATTGATAATATTTAGTGGGAACTTCTAGAGCAACAGATTTGGTCAGTAGCTCATACTTGCATGCTTGAACAAAATGGCCTGTTGCAGATGCAAGGCACCAACATTGAAAGTAGAATGAAATTCTAGTGAGAGTGAAATTGTAATAGAGAACTCTCACCTTCCTGAAACATTAACAAATTTCTCCCCCTTGGAAGTTGCAACTTTTGTTTTCTCTACAGGCAATAAGATGATTAAGTTGGGTAACCTTGTGCCTGCAAAAGATTACAAACAGAGAATGAGGAAAGCAGGTGGTCATTTCAGTATATGATGCAAAAGATTCATCCACTGCATGTCCTGTGTTAGTTTGTAACAACATAGCTTGGAAACTATCAGTGACTAGTAAAATTTATTTAAAGAAAGATTATTAAGAAAAATAAAATCACGAAATAGCATGTCAAGAGGTGAAGTGGAGAACCAAAAGTAATAAACATAAATTATCAATAAGTGATTAATAAATAGACGATGCTGATGACAGATGCTTGGTGCTTTCTAAACCTCTAACAACAATTAAAAATGCTTTTGAAACAAATATCTCTACAAGACACTGGACTGCAGAGATCTGAAAAAATGAATCCTTCTCTACAGAAGAAATCGATAGTTCCAAGAATAATGCCAGACATAAATCCTCATAAAGAAGGAAGATGTAGCAATAAAAATATAAAGGGTTCATGTAACATCTTGGGTTTTTAATTCCTGGATTATATAAATTAACCAAGGACAATTGGGCAAAATTGAGTATTTAAGGAGTTTAATAATAGTTATGGAGGGCTAATGGGCCTAATTGTATTGAATACAACCTTTGGATTGGGTCCGAAAGTATTTTGGGCCACATGGGCCCAAAATGGGAGAGCACACTGGTCCAAGCCCTTTCTATGCCATCCATTGTGGCAGAGACACCATGTGCCATGGCAGAAGGTCGAAATTTTTGAATATCAACTTTTATGCGCAGCTGAAAACAGAAAGAAAGGGAAGAGAGAAATAGAGAAGGTGACAAGAGAATCTTGGAGTCTCCTAGGGCATCACATTCTGGGCACTTTAAAGGTGTTTTAGGCTTGCTCTCACCTAGGTATGTCTTTCCTATCCCTCCCTCTTCCTTCTACACGATTTTAGGTTAGGTTTTGGAGTTAGGAGAGCATGATTTTCAGACCTAGGGCTATGGATCTGAACTCAATGGTTTTAATGAAACTAGTGAGAGTTATTTAACACTTCCATATGTAGTTTTGAGGATTTTAAAAGGTTATAAGTTTGGATCTAGAGTTTTGGACAAACCCTAGCCACTTTGAGTGAGATTTTAAGTTGCTAGGTCTTATATATTAGTCATTACTTAAGCTAATGGGAGTTAAATGGAGTTTATAGGAATTAATAAACTCATTGGTTGTGAAGTTAAGCTTGTGGTTGAGAAATTGGATTGTTAAAGCGTGAGTTTAGGAGTTGAAATTGGCATTTAAGTGGATTATTAGTGAAGATGTTTGTTGCTAATTGTAGATTAATATTGTTACATAATTTTGAGCTCAATCCTAGCTCAAGAAGCAAATGGTGTTAGGAGTAACCTTTGAATTCTCAAAGATTTGAGGTAATAGGGGAATTATTTATCTTGCTAGTAATTGTTAGATTAGATTAGGCGTATGCAAACATGCTTCATATGTTTTATATTCAAATGAACTCACTTATTGTTTTATAACTCCTACGCAAGTGTGGTTTGTCTTATATAAATGTGAAAGATTTCTTATAGAAAAGCTATATGTTATGATTGAATAAGAATTTGTGATGACATTTATCTTTAAAATGAGAGATTTGTATACATTGAATATTAGTTGAGAATGTGATAGTACATGTTAGTTTGTGATGGTTTAACTATGCATGACATATGAGTATGCTTGGTGATGCCTTGTGCATGGTTGCTTGATCATACATTAGGCAAGAGGATGCCTTAGGAGGTGTAGCACTTTATTTTCCACGTGGAATTATCTAACCAACGCTATGGGTGGCTCCAGTGTTTTGGTTCTAGGGTTAGGTCTTCCTGAATCTCGCCTAAAAATGTATAAACGTAGGTTGCTTAAACCCTATCCTTAACCTCACCCTGGACTAGGTGAAAGGTGGAACACGCGACACATTTATAGTCCAACAGTGAGTATAGCACCTTTGGCTAGGTGGCTCTTCATGATTAGTGAGCTTAGGCTAATCCATTCACACAGACTCAATCCTACTGAATTGTCAGCCCACAGATTCAGTCAATATTATATAGAGGGAATAAGGAGTTCTTGATGATATGTTTGTAACATCATGTGATGTAATGTAATACTATGATATTTTGTGACTTGATATTGCACTAAATTTTGGAATAATTTCTTTTTAGCCCACTTGCATGCCTTAATTGGTTTAATTTGCATGTGCATAATTTAGAGTTTTCCTTTACTTATTGAATAGTTTTATTCACCACTATTCTACATATTACAGGTTCTAGCTCTAGGAAACCTAACGAGAAAGCACCTGAGGCATAGGAATCTGCAATTCCTACTATATGCCTCTACCTCTTGGTTTTATATGTGTAATTTATGATGATTGATTACCAACTAGGACAATTTTTTGGTTTACTTGCACCAATGCATATTATTTGTGATGATTGTTTGCATTTAGTGCCCATCATCGTTGTATGTACTGTTAATGTTATACAAGGTATAAATACTAATGCAAGTAGATTTATGGTTATTTTGGATTGTTGTATAATTGATAAATTATGAGATTATCCTATTTTGGCTCCCCTATGGTTTTTGTTAAAATCAAGATTGAGGGGTGAAAATGAGATGGATGATGATTATCTATGTTGCGATACATTATACAGGTTGTCCTGAGTCCTGGAAACTTGGTTTAAATGGTTGCTTAGGCTTTTGGCACATAGTTTGGGTTTTGGACACTATGAGTGTCCAACTCTTGCATGTGATGCAATTTTGAAATGATACCAGTGACATTAGTTAGTGATATTGGTTAGTTCACTGAATAAGTTTTTTATAAATACCTAGATCAACACAATCAAATGTTGGATGGAAGCCCGGGGGCATTGGAAGTTCGCCTCCAGTGCTAGGCATTTGACAGCAAAAAATGTTGTCATCTCTGTGCAGTGCACACGGCACAAAAGGGGTTTCACTGCGACGGACTGAGGTGAGCAATGGCAGACACCCCAGAATTTTGTGACAAGAAGTTTTTAGCCTTTTTTACTTATGTTTTCCAACCCAAAGGGTATCCCATACTTCCAAATGTTTTTAAGCTCTGATTTGTGACTAAGTGGGCCTTATTATGCTTGAAATATATTAATGACTTGGGATCCCAATGATTTGATTATTTGTTTTGATTGTTTAGAACAGGTTTAAATCTTTTCTAATATACTACTAGCTTTTCAAAATGGTTTTAACCTTATCTACCATGGTGGGAACTATTCTACCATAGTCGGAACTATTGTTGGTTGTATACTTAAAGTTATAGAATTTTATGTTTAAATTCTTTTAATCATAGCAGACCTTTAAACCAGGTCTTCTCTTTGTCTATTATGATTTTAACTGCAGTTAATTCTTTTCTACCATGGTAAGGTGGCTAAGGTGGTTAACTCAATTACCATGGTAGCGTATAATATTATTGTTAAGTTGTGGAGGTAATTAGGCAATATTACAGTTTGTTTTCATAAACACAATAAATCATATCCCCATCAGCATCATTATCCTTACCACATCTTCCTTACCAAAGAACTATTTGAATAGTAAAAGTAAATATTATTGACTTAAGAACAAGAAGGAATGAAAGAAGCTCAATGACATATTAATATTCCCTTTACAATTTAGAATTTCTTTTGATAGATAGTATGAATCAAAAGTCAAAAGACAAGATGAAATTATCTTTAAGAAAACTCTTCAGCTGCTTCAACTTCCTAAGTTTTTCCATTAATTTGAAACTAAAACCGTCAATCAATTCCACACAAGAATCAGAAACAAAAACAGATGGAAAAATGACACAAGGAAACATCATTTTATGAAGGAAAACTTTATCATTGAGAAACTCCAATACTCAATAGTGATGCTATGATATTAAAATAGAACATATTACCTGCTGCAAGACGATGCTTGAGACCCTTCAAAACAGTTAACAGGTATACCTGGTAAAATTTAAGTGATTTTAGGTAGGTTGATTTAAAAATTTTGGCATCATGTATCTGCATGCACCCACATGTTCACATTTGCATATCTTTGTGTGAGCATTTGTTATGCATACAAAAGACATGCTACTACTTAAGAAGTCATTATCAAATTTATTAAGATTAGTAAATTAATATCAACAACAACAACAAGCCTTATCCCACTAGGTGGGGTCGGCTAGTAAATTAATATCATGGAGAAAAAAAGTAGATATGTCTTTCTCAAAAACCATAAAATGAGGTGACTATGAGATAAAACTTAAGGATACAGCACGGGGCATACAATCACAGAACATTTGCTTGAACTACAAGTGAATTGGCACCAATGTATGTAAGTAGAGAACGACTAGGGCTATTGGAATGGTCAACTACCACTTATGTCTCTCCAATAGATACAGTGATGAATATAAAAGGTAAAAATAATCCTCCTGCACATAAAAATGCATTTATCTTATGCATAATCATATTTAAAATGATTCTGGTATAATTTTATTAGATATATTTTTTTTATTAAAAATGCAAACTTCTATACAACAGCCACTGCCATTGCACCAGTATTTAGAAAGAAAAGCTCACCTCAGCAGTAAAATTGTGCAATTCCTTTAAATCCACAACAATGGGATTCACTTTAAAAGATGCAAATGGAACAATTCCAAGAGAAGCAGCTTCCTACAAAATGATTGCAGCATCATCCAATGGTCCAACTGATGTTTACAATACTTAAGAGCAAGGATGTGTGTAGAACTAGAAACTTCAGCTTGCTACTGACCTCAAGTAGTGAAAAAGCACGAGGATCATATTCACCAAAGCCATCAATCAATGAACAGAGGTTTGAGCTTTTTGAAGTTTCAGCACTTACTCCCAGGTTCTCAATAAGACTATTTTTCAAAGAGGGATCATAAGGGAGACGCAGGCATCCAAAAATTTGTGACAGAATTTCACTCGTAGGCACTATACCATCTCTAATGATCTCACGATAGACCATCAAGGCCAGGGATGTCCTAAGAGCAGGAATCCAAATAAATTAATGAAGAAAATCATCTAGAAGAGTAGCCTTAGATAATTAATAGTCATAATGAAAAAGGCATCTAATCATAGCAGGCAAAAATGTATACTTTTCTCACTAAAGAGGAAGTACATAAATTTGAAAAGATGATAATGTCAAAACCAAATAAGTGAATGTGAGAATGTGAGACCTTCAGGATCCAAACTAGTATTCTTACATGAACTTAGAAATGATATTATCTATCTTACTTCATTACTAGTTATGACAGAGAATCAGGTTTAACAGGGAAAAAATTGAAGACTTAAGGGATGAATACCACTTATTATTAACATGTGGTTGTCTTGGGTCAAAAGATGGTTCACCAACATTGCAAGCCCTCTCATATCTCCTCAAGCACATCCCTTTCAAAGACATCAAAGTTCAATCAGAATATGTAAATGGAGGAATTCTCTATGCTAATTACATGTATAGCTTTGAGATGAAAAATAACCAGAGTCCATAGAGATCTAAGGGCTAAACCCATGAATAACAAATTGTGAGCCACACAGATCATGACTTGAATGTTAGATAACATTTATCAATAATTCATAAATAGAATATTCATTTAAAAATAATGGGGAGGGATGAGAGTTCATCATGACTTCTGAATCTTCCTTCATTACCAGTTCTCTCAATCTGGCAGACTAGGTCTAGATCCAAGAAGTAGCTTCGTCAATTTTACGTACAACAGCAATTTTGGTTTCTTTGCTTTTGGCCTTCATCAATATGTAGATGGACTAAATGAACAACTCTTCAGAAAAAATTCTCTAGCCATCTTTTAATTATAAATCTTCCCTAGAAGTAACGATGATAATCTTTCAGCTAAAATTAAAAGGTGGACTAAGGATCTAATTTTTCAGAATATAAATACCATGCCTATTACTAACGACAATTATTTCCTGATATTTCAGCATTATATTAGTTACCGGCTACTAAAGAAAGTTTTGGAATTCACAATTTCATATCAAATAAAAATATTTTTAAGATACTTTTCAGATGTCTTCAAAGAAGTAAAAAATATTGATTAAGCTGACAAAGAAAATAAAAGCCTAGAAATAAAAATTAATCAATCTCAATCGCTCACCAGTTATACATCTACACATGACAAGATTAGGGGAAACACCATCCATTTTGGCTTGAGATAGAAGCATTTGAGCTGCCTCCAGATCGTCCTTTCTACATGGAAGCAGGAAACACAGAAAATTGGTTGAAAGTCCACAAATATTAGGCAATGAAATCTTCTCAGATCACTTACTTCTCACTTGCTACGATAAGAATTGAGTATGTGATGCTGTTTGGGCATAAGCCCAATCCTTTCATTTCAAACAAAACCTCCATAGCCTTGTGAAAATGATCCCCATCACCTGTAGGGAACTCTTGCAATGTTACTTAAAATCAAGAATGTAAATCATACAGAAGTACTTCAACCATGTAAAAAAGCAGGACAGAAAAATGACTCAGCAGCTATGGAACTTTTTTTGGGATTTTGGCGGGGGGGCCAGTAAGAAGTAACCATGCTGCAGTGGTAAAGCAGAATTGTTATCAGTCATCATTTTTCTTACTAAACAAAAATCGAGTGTAGGTAAAAAATTCTTTGCAACAAAAAATATTTTTGCATTTTCCACTGCTCATGTAACTTCTCTTCATACAAAGTCACAATTATAGGAACAAAATCTGTTCTTTTTAATTTGATCTATCTTGGAAGAAGAAGATAATTCAATTCAATAAACAATGATACCTAAATGGCAGGATAGGCTTGTAATTATCTGAAAAAAATTTCCTTTTACTATGCAGTGTCATCCTTATCACAGTTGTCACTGTCAGTAAACTACAGTAAGAAATCTTAAAAACATTTCAACTTACACAGTGCGGTGATCAAAGCATTCACTGTTGAAACAGTACGTACTAATTTACGGGACTTAAGATCCTCATATAGCTCCAATGCTTTCTCCCAATTTCCAGCCTGGACATATTAGTTACACAGGTCAGTACCACATTTTTTAGCATTATGAATTCAATGCAGCATAAGAACAACCAAGAAAACAAAAAATATGTGGGAAAATGTGAATGAGGTTCAGCTTTAACTTTGAGAAAATTTGTATTCCTATGCTATTAGTTTATCAGAGTATCTTTCTCAGGGTTCTGGACTTCAGAAAGCTTAGATTCACGTTCCTTCAAATTTTATTTTCAGATTTATTCAAAAGAACAAGAAATCCTAACTGAAACCAAGCATCTTAAGTTCCACAGTAAAGATGATATCCTGTGTAGAAGGGAATGGCTGAAAAAAATAATTTCACTTATATGAGCAAATCATTATATACATGTAGCAAGAGTCTCTATCATTATGGCTCATCATCATCCCAATGATTATGCTTATCTATATGATTACATGTCTACAGTAAATGAAACAATATTTCCTAACTCTAATATCCAGGATCCATAAAAATTTAAAAAAACTAGAATACTAGAAACCCTAAGAATTATAGTCAAATCATAACTGTAACTAATCCCCAGGATCTATACATTTTTAAAGAATTAAAGCTCCCCCAATTTATGGTAGTAATAATTCAAATAAAATGAAATATTTTGTTTAATGTCCCGCAATAGAGATTCAAAATTCAAACTTTATTTTGTTGAGTTCATCAATCAAATCCACTCTACTATACCACGCATCCCTACTCTGTTTCAGTGTCCTTTACCTTCCTTGTAGCCTTGATCTAGATCTGCAAAATCCAAACTACAATGGCTTTACCACGTTTACTACTCAATCTTCTGCATGGGATGACTACAGAATTGCTTGGGGTATAACAACTCATGTTCGGTGTTTTTTCAAGTACAGGCAAACCTCAATATTTCTTAACTACAAAGGAAACCTGGAAAAAGGATACACAGACCATGATTGCAGCTGCAAGGATTCACTTTAGAGGGAAGAGACACAGTTTATTACAACAATGCAAGTGTGAAACCCATCAGATTTTATACTTTGGAATATGCTTAGCTATTTTTAAATCAATTTTACTGATTTCTTATCTTGGCATCCCATTCTATACCATGCTCAGTAGGTTATCTCTCTTAAACCAACTCAAGCAGAATATTTCCTTGACTATACATACATTGCTACAGGCTCCCATCAAAGAGCTGTATGACATTTTTCCAATATGTATTCCTTGGCTACGAGCTTCTTGTAGGACTTCAAAGGCAGCATCTAGCTTTCCAGCATGTCCAGCAACATCTATTAGTGCACTCAGAACCATCTGCATGATCAGTAAAAAATTTGAGATAAATTGATGCTATTGAGGAGAAAAATCTAACCATAAGAATCCACTCCATATACCGTCACACAAACAAAAGACATAATTATCTTCTCAAACCATAAAAGATGCAAATTATTTAGTGTCTGAAGAAGAAAATGTTAGCAAAGTACCTCATCAGGGAAAACCCCTTTCCCATTCATGTCACTGTATACACTAGATGCAAATTCCCAATCTCCGGTTTGGCTACAAGAATTGATGGCAATAGTGTAGACCTCTGGGGTTCCCTTAATACCATATTGATCTAACCACTTGTACACTTCCCGTGCTCGTTCAACCTATAGAAAGAACATTAATGTGATATGAAATAAATTACCATGAAGAAATACACAACACACATAAAAACTATAAAAAATGATAACCCAACATTAACCAGCCATTATTGTGTGCTATGGGGCAGAAAACAGAGAGAAAGAAACTGCACCTGACCAGCATTTGCACATGCCTTCATTAATGCACCTATAGTTATATGATCTGGTTCAATAGGTTGCAGTTCTGCTGCCATTTCTGCTAAAACATCAAAAGCACGATCCACTGCTCCTGACTGAGCACATGCAGCTATAAGTGCATTGAATACAACACGATCTGGCTTCAATTTCTACTGCATGCAAACATCATATAAACATGTAAATTAATTGGTATTAAAGTCAGGTGTCATGCTGCAATTTCTGCTGACAAAGAAAAGGATGTAGGGCTTAGGATGATCAACTAATATCGCTAAAGATGAATTTTCCAAAGCATCATGTTGCAACTAATGTACCTTGGACCTCATTATCCCATAAGCACCAAATGCTTTAGCAACTTGCCCAGCTCTAGCACAACCATCAATTAGTGCCCCATAGGTATGAACATTAGGTTCAATTCCAGAATTAACCATATTGTGAAATGCCTAAGTATAAGAATAAACACATTAACTAGATAAAGTGCTTAGAAAAAGATATATCACCACATTATGGTAATCAACCAAAATTTTCAAGGAAGATTTCATACTTCAAACATCTGATCAACTTTACCACTCTTGGCACATGTTGATATCAAAGTGGTATAAAGTTTGCAATCAGGTTTGAATCCAGCCCCCTGAACAAGCTGCAGAACTTGGAAAGCCCCTAATTACATACAAAATTGCAATCTCAAGAACTGAAAATAGCACGAATGTAAGAGCAACATATAAAGAACATTATACAGGGAATGTACGAGCTAAGTAAAAAAATGATGAAAAATGAACTTACCTTCTGAATATTGAGAGCTTGAACACACAGACATGAGCATATTAAATGTACTCAATTTTGGATTTGGAATAAGCTTAACGTAATCAAAAGCTTCTCTAACAGCCTTTTGTCTCTTGCAGATGTTAAAAAACTTGGCATGATAAACCTACGTCCAGTAAATTTAGTACATGAGAAACTGAAAAAGGAAGGTAATATCAAGTAACAGCTTGAAAGGTGCATATACCTTAGTCATATCTAAAATTCCCTTCATTTCCATGTCTTTAAGCAATTCAACACATTCATGTAACCTAGCAAATTCAATCAACTTTTGTATAAGCTCTTCAAGGTCAAAAACTAAAGCAAAAGAAGGTCAGAATGCACATTATCTTCATATGATAGAAACAACAGATAGAAGATAACAATATGACATCACTTCTTTGTTTAAAAGACACTTGAACAAGCAATACTCTCAGAGAAAAGCATTTGCTCTGTAGCGTTTATGTGAGGGATAAGATACTACCTTCCATCTTTTAGCAAAGAATTATATGTTCTAAGATATTGAGAATGATGATTCTTTTGATCAACATGCTCCCTGATTGAGTTGGAATTCCGGGGAAGAAGTTTGTTACTTCTCTGATCCAGATTGGTCTCTCCCATGTTGCTTAGAGATCTGCTACGTTTCCTCAAGGAATTATTTTGCTGGAGATAGCCTTCTTTATACCTCGCTCTAGGTTCCACTCCTTCAACATTCTCTAATTCAACAAACGTAGTGTAAGCCAAAATTAGCTCAAAATTTTAACCAGCCTATCTTGATATTGTAAAATTGTCTTCTCATCTATACCAGCAATGAAACAAGATGATCTTACATATTCTTTCATGGTGTTACCTGCAATTTGTAGAGAAACCTCTTCTAATGATTCTGGTCCTTTAAAAACAATATTCCCCATCGTGGATTGCAATTCATTTTTCTTCATGAAAGAAGCATGAGAAGATGACGATTTTAAATTACTCAGTGGTGACATGGATCCCGTTGAAGACATGTTTACCTGATAAAACATGTACAGTTCTTGCCTGGCAGATTCGCCAATTAGGACATTGGCACTGATGGTACCAAGTTCAATTTTTTCTTTAGCATTATCTTTCACTATTGTGAGTGCATTGTTTACATGATCCAAAGAAGTAGTATGCTCAGATTTATTTATAATTATAGGCAGCTCAGAATCAGAGAGAACGTTATCCCTTGTTTCTTCCACTTGTAGTTTAGTCATCTCTGCAGCAAAAGACAGAGGCTCAAAAGAACTTGATTGGAATTCCATGGACACACAAGATTCCTCTACAGCCTTGGACCTGTTCGAAGATGAAGCACTGTTAATGCTAGAGGTCAGAACATCAGAAGGTGACTCTAACTTCTTAGTCGCAACGGCCCCTTCTTGCACCATAGGAGATGTCCAATATGTTAGTTGGGCCTCTTTTCCCTCAAAATCATCATTTTCTTTGTCAGATTTATCCTCCAATATCCCAATTTCCTTAAGCAAGCTCTCCCCTTGAAATTCCTGAAAACAAAGAATCTGACTTTCGATGCCCTGGTTCCCAATATTACTTCCTTGCTGTGATAATGCAAATTTTGGTTGTCCCAGTATCTAAAGCAGTGTCAACGTTAGAATGGAAGAAATTATATACAATGATCCAATCACCAATATATTAATTGAATAAAATTTCAATCATTGAACACTACCAGCGCTGCCCAATCTATAGCAGTAAATGTAGTTAAGTGAAGAATTTATCAATCTCAAGTTATAAATCTGTCATAATTAACTAGGAAGGTGAGAAACTGAGAATGTATTAAGAATATAAAATTGACTAACAGTCACTATGGATAAGTTGGACGATATGTAAAAATTTCAACTATCAACACATCTCTAAATGTGTGTAACCATGACCATCGGCCAGTCTCGAAACTCATCTCAAGTACTGTTTTATACATGACAGGGAGACAAGTCTCTGCATGGCGCAAAAGGAACATTTAAAAAACGAAAGCAGAATGCCACAAGATAAATGAATATCACAAGCACGTAAGATCAATTTCAAGTAGCGTGAAGAAATCCTGTACTCAAATCCAATGCAACAAAAATTTAACAGAGAACAAATTATATATATATATATATATATATTAGGGCGCTTACCTCTCTGGGGTTCTTCTTTCTCTTGATGTAATTATAGTAGAAAAGAGAAACGGCAGATAAAGTAACTAAAGTGACGACGACGACGACGGAGTGAGAACTCAAAGATGCTTTGAAGATAAAACGAGGAGAATGGAGTTGAAGAAGCCGCAATTTCTTGCATTTATTATTTCTAAAGCTAAGACATCCGGGAGGCCTGAGATTATGAGAACAACCAAGGAACTGCGAGCGGAAGGATCGGAGATTGGAAAGAGAGAAAGCAGAAGGAGAACGTGAGGTTGAGCTCAGAGTATAGTGATTGGAAGTGAGGCTAACTTCCATGGATGAGGAAGGGAGAAAGGAAGAAGAGAAAAAGAGAGTATGTATGTGAAGGTTGAGAGGGGGCTAGCAATTTTAGCAGGAAGGAGAGGAGGGAGTGAGCTCTCTGAAACCAGAGAGAAACAAATGCTAGTGATGATGCTGATCCAAAACGTTGCTGACGTGGCGCTATTTTTGGTTTTCCGTTGGGACTATGGGCCGGATTCGTTTCAGACCATATAAAAATTTGTGGAACAATATCAGTGACTGAAGACGAGAAAACAAAATGATTACCAATTTAGAATTGATAATATTATTATAAGGTGATTTTAACTAATTAACTAAAATCAATAAATGATAATTAATTTATTAAATATATCTTAAAATTAAATTAAATTAAATTTACTTCTATTAAAAATAAAATAAATAAAATAAAAATACACTGTATATGATGAAAAGTAAAATTAAATTTATAGTATGGTAAAATTAAAAATAATAATAAATAATTATCCATGTATTTTATATTGAGAACTATAAAATCTTTTAAAATGTGCTCTAAGGAATATTTATTTAGTCAAAGACTAAAAGCAAGTTTCATTTCGCAATGGAGTGGACTAGTCAAGTTTATTGTCCAAAGAACTTTCACGATGATGTAATTCTATTTTTCTTTAAAAAAAAACATTCAGTAGTATTTTAGATTTTAGTTCTAGGCAGATATCTTGCTCAAATTTTAGTTGTTTTATATTGCATTGTAGGATTTGTTGAGATTTTATCAATTACATCAACTTTATGCTATCCGTTTATATTTATTTTTTGTCAGCAATTTATATTTATTGTTTGTCAACAAAAATTGGCTCGAGAGCGAAATTTAAACTAAAATATATATTCTAAAATATTAACATTAAAAATTAAACTAAAAGGACAAATTTATCAAAGTAATTAATTTTTTTTAATTGAACTTCGTTCCAATTTTTATAACTCGATATGCAAGAGAGTCTTGTAATTTTGCATCCAATCCCCGTCTTTGAAACACACGTGAAAGATTTTTACAACTCAACATTTAATTTTTATCAATTTGCAATCTCAACCACCCTAAATCAAGCATACACACTATTTAAAATTAAATTAAAAGTTATTTTTATTTTTAAATATTTTTTATAGTCTGTAGAGATTTTAAATTTAATTATGAATCATTTTTATCTTTGAACAGTCTTTATATGAATTACTTTTGTCCTCAACGTTAATGGGCGCATTTTATGAGTCTCATCATTTGCATTTTTTAATATTTTTATAAGGATTATAAATTATTTTTATCTTTAAACTTTTTCCTTAGAATTTATAAATGTTCTGAATTTAATTTTAAATCATTTTTTGTTTTTGAACATTTTAAATTATATTTTTGATAATAAAATATTACTTGTGAGTTTCAATCTTCTCTTTCCTCTCCCTCTCTCTCCTCCCCCACATTTTTTCTTCTCCATTCTTCTAGTCTTCTTCTCCACGCTTTGCAATAAAATTATTAATTTGAACTAAACTCAAATAAATTCAAAGAGTTAGGATTAAGCTTCGTAAAATAATTATTTTTAATGTTCAAACCTATTTGTGCTTACTTAAATAAAAATTTATTTTATATATATGATATATTAAATATTAATTAATTATATAATTTATATTACTAATAGGCCATAAATTAAAAAAAAATTAATATATGATATAGAAATTTTAATCCATTTTATTTAATTAAAATTTATGGTCCCTTAGTAAAATAAATTAAATGACTAATTAATATTTAATATATGATTAATATTATGTCATAAAAAATTTTCATTCAAATATTTGGATCAAGTTCGAATTCAATCTAGCTTAACCTGAATTTTGTCAAGCCCATTTGGGCTGGTTCTAATTGGCCCAAACATTTAAAATAATTATTCTACTAAGTCCAGCCATAACTTTTTTTAAATTTGTTTAGACTTGTACAAAATTACTTGTTTTACTACAAAGTGTGGAGAAGAAAATTGGGGCAACGGATGAAAGAGAAAGTGGGGAGGAGAGAAAGGGGAGGGAAAGAAGATTGAGACTTATATGTAATATTTTATTATAAAAATTATAATTTAAAATATTTAGGAATAAAAATGACTTAAAATTGAGTTTAAAATATCTACAGGCTTTAAGGGAAAAGTTCAAGAGCAAAAATAATCTTTAACCATTGTAAAAAAAATTAAAAATGCAAATAATAGGACCCACATAACAATGATTGAATATGTTAATGTCAAAAATAAAAATGACTCACATGATGGCCATTTAAGAATAGAAACGATCTATAATTAAATTCAAGGTCTCCACGAACTTTAAAAGAAAAGTTAAAAAACAAAAATAATCTTTTAACTTTTAAAAATTTTCAAAAACCCACCAACATAAAAATAATATAATATTTTTTTAGTAGAATTAAGCTAGTTGTCATTATTCTCCCATTTAATAATCAACATGCACCAAACAACTTGAAATATGTGAAGACATTACCTACTAAAATCAGCGTGTCAACAACAATTATGAATTACAATTATCCTTCCAACTCCCAGACAAGTGCAATTCTAACACGTCGTCGATATCATTTTTAAAAACTTCTTAGATGGATATTTGCTGAAACAAGATGTATCAGACTTGACGTGGATAATTGTGAGAGTGGTGAAGTGGCTTGTGAGAGTTTCATAGATAGCCGGAAAGTTAATGGTAATCATGTTTTTATAGATTTCAACACTGGTACAAATTGACTGGCTTATCACGGTCGCGATCATGATCTTCAAATAGCATATCTTCTTAGTCCTTAGGTTTCTTGCTAGGCTCCTACCATTTTCATTGGCTATTTGGGCACATTATTACCACATTGGCACATTCTTTCCTTCAATACAAGCAACGTCCTGCTGGCGAAAAGTTACTGCAGCACAGATTTTGACAAGGCGTGATGGAAGATGGAGGATCTTCCGCATGTGAAATTGTGAACCCTGCGTCGAGTGAACTAGGGACATTAAAGGCCGAGATTCCTGGCCCATTAAGATATGCAAGCCCAAAATTCGAAAAATAAGCGGATTTTGGCCAGTTAATATGTGCCACCAAAGGCCCAGGACAGCTATATGTTACTCTAGGACCCGGACACTAACCTTTGATTTAGATGGAGGAAAAATTAGAGTGAAGAATACTAGGAGAGAACATATCAACAGTTTTCTTTTCCTTTTATTTTTCTTCATATTTTCTTTTTCATCCAAACCAAGCATAAAAAACACTGTTTAAAACATTGTCAGAACACATTTGAGTATGTATCAAGGATGACATTAAATCTAAAGCGATTGAGACTGAGAAGGGATTAGCTTAGAGATGGTCTATAGTTACTCAAATCTAATCTAATTTTCTTTGTCTTTCTTCTCCAGTTTATTATGATTTGTTGGCACCATTAAATGGATCTATTGGTCCTAACTCCTAATCCTCATTCTTCCCACCTGCTTTGTCCCTTTTCTTCTTGGGCATCCCATTCGGTCCTTTTCGTTTTTTCAATCACACTAAAATATGCTAGAAGATATTACCCAAAAATAATAATAATATGCTAGAAGATACTGATTCTCATATGAGTCTTCTTTCTCACTCCTATTATTAAAAAATATAAGATATTTTAAAATAAGTCACCTCCTTAATAAATTAGTTAATTATCTTTAAACTTATATTATTTTTTATATTTATTTTTATTTAATAGGATATCTCACTTAAAAGTGAATGATTGATTAGTTTATTAACTAAGGGTATTTTTAAAAAAAATCATTAATTACACCTCAAAATACTAAAAATATTTTTATATTTATTAATATTTAATCATTCAAAAAATGTCTTTCCTTTTTTAATGAAAGAAATATTTATAAAATATATTATTGACTTTTTATCACAAAATTTTCCACTTATTCACATTAGATATTAGTGAAAAAATATATTATTGAAATACGTTATATATCTAAAGGGATAAAGTTAAAATCTCAACAAATTTTTAACGATAGATGGTAAATTTTAAAATTTTATTGAAAAATTGATCTTTTAGTCCTCCAAATTTTAATTCACTTGTAATTCAGTTTCTCAACTATGACTTGCCTATATCAGTTTCTGAACTTTTGAATCACTTACAAATTAGTCCCTGAATTTTTATTAATTTTTGTTCATGTTACCTTAAATTTCACATCAATGAGTAAGAGGATGGTATATTAGAATAATATATGAGCATTTTTTATCTCTCTTATTTGATAAAAAAATTAAAAAAATAAAAAATAAAGACCAAATTATTGGTAAATCAAAAGTTGAGGGATTGAGTCGCAACGAGTTATAGTTGAAAGATTGAGTCGCAGCGAGTCATAATTGAGGGATTAAATTATAAGTGAGTTAAAAATTAAAAAATTAAAAGATTAATTTTTTTAATTTTATTTGAGTGCAATTATATATATTGGAAGTAAATTAAATAATGAAGACGACCAAGATCCAAGTGTGACCCTTTACCCATTCATGGAGCCACAAACATCCACCGGGTTGGACCAAAATCAACCGACCCACTAACATCGGGACGACAAAAATATCCGTTAAGGACCACCACCTTCAGATAATCTAATCATTTCCCCCGCAAATTTTGAACAACGTTTATCGAATTTGTGTCAATAATCTAATGTGAAATAAAGTTCAAGTTTATGCAGAGTTGCACCATTTACCAACCATAAATATTTGTGGCTTCTTTATGTTTTATGCATGCGAGCAGGATTCACAGTCGCTCTTACAATTCAATTATATCGCCCTATTATAATGTTTTAATTCACTTTATTACCTTTTATAGTTTGAATATTCAAAAAGTAGAACGCATGGTTCACCAGCTTTTTAATACCCACATGATGTGATTGGATGGCCAGCATAGGAGCTAAATATGCTAGGTCGGTCCGACAAAATATAGTTGAAACGGTCATTGTATATTTTTTTTTGGGGGGGGGGGGGACAAGTAAAAACTTATCAAACCAACGAATCAATAATCATATCACTTTGACATTCCAACATCAAAATGCAAAATGCATAGCAAGTTATGCGAGTATCCGCACATAATGTAACTCTGGTGCCATGG